CTTCTGAAGTTTGTGGTAGAGTAATAATAAAAATGTGGGTTCTTACGTCAAAAAAGCTGACCAGCATAAATGACCACTTATGTTCCTTTTTAAAAATCTCATAAATTTTACATAAAATCTTAATTGCTCAAACAGCATTTCCTTAAATTCAAAAGATACTGTTTATATAATTCAAATAACTTGCCCCAAAATGTAGAATTGGGTAACTTCTTTTAAAAATGGAACAGTCCTTTTTTTTCCTGGCATCAAGTCCTTGGTGATCAGTAACACAGTCGGTCTTGGGGGCCTCTCGCCTCTTGTGATTGCCAGTAGGGCAATGTGTCACATCTCAGCTTTCGGCAAGTCTAAATGGAGATTCTAGACATGGAACACTTTTGATTTTTCCTATGCTTTCAGCACCTAGCACAACTAGCACAGTGTCTGGTACATAATAGTTGCTTAGAAAATATTTTTTAAATGGTAAAATAAATACTTCTGCTTTATCAAGGACACTATTATGAGCACAGTGTGCAACTTTTTTAAAAAATATATTTTTTTAGTTGTTGGTAGACCTTTATTTATTTTTATGTGGTGCTGAGAATCAAACTCAGTGCCTTACACATGCTAGGCAAGCGCTCTACGACTGAGCCACAACCCCAGTCCCCACAGTGTGCAATGTTGTCCCATTTTCCTTCTCCCAAATATGTAAGATTTTTACTTTGAGAAAATAGTGTCAACTCTCAGTACTTTCTTAAGCAAAAAGTTGGGGGAGAATGTAGACAAAATCCATGATTATAGTTGATAGCAGAGCTTCTGGAAATTTCTCTTACATTAGTAACTTCTAGAGGAGTTAAATTTTAACTCAATGTGTCATCTTGGACCTCTTTCTTTCTAAGGTATTTTGGTGAAATAGATAGTCTACTGTGTTTTTTACTTGCCTCATCCTAGTTTACTATGTGGCTAGTCTATAATTTATTTGTATGAATCCCCTCTAGGTGCATTTTTAGATTGTGTGTACATACACACACACACACACACACACACACACACACACACATACACGCCTGTCTTTGCATATATCTTGCTATTTCCTTAGAATAAATTTTTATTTATGAAGGTACTATATAAAATTATATATATGGTATAAGATTCAGTTAGATGATATCATAAAGACTTACCGTAATGTCTGAAAAAGTTCAAAGGTTTTTCTAGCATGGTTATTGTAGATTTCATTACTTCTGTCTTCCCACTACACTTTGAGCCTCTAGATAAAGTGAACGAATTAGTTAGAAAAACACAGGAGATCTTAAGTCAATGGCTTGAACAATAAGGAAATTATTATTCTTTGTTAAACAATAAGGAAATGTTATTATGAGAAGCCCAGAGGAGGAATGAGTCCTAAGCTAGTTGATTCAGGAGCTCCAGAATAACCCACCAACCTTTCAGTGTATGCCTTCTGCTGTCTTTGGTGAGTCAGCTTCTCCCCAGCTAGTTCCTTCATGTGACACAATGCCTGGCATTTGTAAATAGCAGATTTTCCCTCACATTTCATTAAATAAATGGAATGGCACCACCATGATTTATTTAGACAATTTTTTTTATTCCTTTTGATCATGGCATATGCTAGGAAACACATTTTACATCATGACTGGGGTACCCATCACACATATATTTGAATATATGTATGTTACTCTTTACAAGTGAATATAATTCAGAATAAAGTTTTTTCCAAAAAAAAATATATAACCTTTCTACTACATGATAGTAAGAATAAATGCTATTTTATTTATATTTTAATGTGTTTAATACCCAAATACAAAAATTGGAAAAGATTTAATTTAATGTGTGGGTGTAGGCTGTTCATTAATTTTTTTGTAGTCCAGAAACATAAGAACAGTGCTGTGAGTACACAGTGGTACTCGATTGAGGTTGCTCTTTTAAATTTGAATTGGATTGAGATTGAAAATATTTTTTTCACATCTTTGATTCATAAGATAATCTTAGAATTGATTCAGACAAGAGTCATTAATTCCACACTCAGTGGGAATATATTATATAAGTCTGTGAATACCAGGATTTGGGGATCTTGGAACCATATTTGAAGTTACCTAGCAAGAATATAAAAAGAGAAGATAACTAAATGCCATATGTGATCCTGGATTAGAAAAAAAAAACACTGTAAAGTATAATTGGGACAGTTGATAAAATTTCAGTATGGGCTGTACATTAGATAATAATATTACATTGATGTGTTTCTTCATTTTAACAGTTGTGTTGTGGATATGTGTGACAATGTTCTTGTTATTTGGAAAAAACACTGAAATATTTATTTGAGGGAAGACTATAGGGATGTTCTTTGAATTGCTCTTACATATTTTTTTTTTAAATTTGAAATGATTTCAAAATGAAAAGTTGTAAAATTGTCTAGGATTATTTTCTGATGGGTGTGGGGGACGTAAACATGGGTTTTTAAATTTCATATATTCTGAATACACTATTATGTATATCATGACTTATAATTCACTTAACATGTTGTTAGATTTGTTTGCTAGTATTGTGTTGAGAAAAGGATATTGGTCTAAGTTTTCCTATGTTATCTTTGTGTGACTTTGGTGTCATGGTAATGCCAGCCTCATAGATGACTTTGAAAGAGTTCTCCTTTTTATTACTGTTTTTCTTTTTGGAAGAATTTGAGAAAGATTGATAATAGTTTTTTTATCAATGAAGTTATCCAAATCTGAACTTTTTATTTTGTTGGGAGATTTGTGGTTACTGATTGAATCTTTTTACTTGTTAAGTTTTTTCAGATTTTCTTTTCTTCTTGTCAATTTTGGCAATTTCTGTGTTCCCCAGAATTTGTTAAGTTTTATTCCTTTAAAGCTTGTCTAGTTTAACATGTATTGAATAATAATACATTTTTACATTGCATAAATATATCTGATTTAATTTTTATGTGAAGTTATATTTGAGCCATATACAATAAATCCTCCATAAACTTAACATCTGATCTAACATGTTCTTTACTTACCATGATAATATTTTGAGCATTTCAGTTGTTCTGCATCCTTACTAGCACTTGATATTTTCCATTTTTTTCATGTTAGCCATTCTAGTTATGAGTGTTTCAATTTTTTAAAAATTTTGAAGGTTTTAAGATGTCATCTACAAGAATATTATTACTAACAAACATCTGAGATCTATCATTAAGTTTTGCATATTTGTAAAACTTTTTTAAAAAAATTAAATTTATTTTAAAGTCTTAGAATTTGTTCTTTTCTATTTAGAATGGCAAGAGTCAAGTCAAAGATTAAGTTGAGTCAACATTTTCTTCAAATTTGATACTATTAACACTTCTCTATCTAGTAGTTGAGTTTACCTCTGTAAATCCTACTTCACTATTTGTTTCTTCTAAGTATAAATGATTTTAAGGTGACTTGTACTAAGTCAGTTAAAGTATTCAGATTGCTGGCTTTGTCTGTTTCCTGAGTTGGTTCCCTCTGCCACACCCTTCTGCATGTTCTGCCTCATTTCTGGCCCAGAGCAATGGAGTTGGCCATCTTTGAACTGAGACCTCTGAAATTTTTAGCCCAAATAAGCTTTTCCTCTTCTATATTGTTCTTGTCAGGTCTTTTGGTCACAATAACTGCAAAAACTGACTTAAATAGTCAATCTGCCTTTTTATCTCTCTTTTTAGACAAGGAAAAGACTATGTAGTTTTGTTTTGTTTTGTTTTGTTTTTTGGGTTTTTTTTTTTTGTACTAGGGATAGAGCCCAGGGCTCATGCATGCTTGCTAGGCAAACTCTCTTATCACTGAGCTATATCTCCAGTTCACTGTTTAGCTTCTTAAAAGGTATGGCTCAGTAGTAATGAGGTCTCAGAATGAGGTTCATTCTATTCTTTTTCATCATGATGTTTGCTTATTACATTTTAAAATTATATCTAAAAATTTTAGCTCTGGCCTGGATAGTTACAGGGTTACCTCTTAAATACAGAAGCACTTCTGCATTCTCAGTCTTCTGGAGCATAAACTTCTGTTATTAAATGGTAAATGTAATTGTGATGTATGGGAACTATACTATATTGTTTTTCATACTTACTTAAAACATTTGGAGAAATACGTTGACCTACAGTTCATAACCAGGAGAACAATCAGAAAATTAGAATTTTTGATAACATCAAGTGTATTAATTGTAGTAACAAGATTGCTTAGCCAAGCAATACTTACTTTTAGATAGTGTATTTCTTCAATTGTAAGATGCATATTTTCTCACCTTTTAACACTCTGAAATCAGGAAGCATATTAAAATAAATGCTGCCCTATGATTACTGTTGGCCCTGTGGTTAATTATGGTATTGTGTCTTCATGAACTTGGTTGTTAATTCTAGAGACATGACTGAACTGCAGGCCCTTCACTGTTTTAGTTAACAAGCCATTGAACAGTAACCATTTGAGGAAGAAATAGGAGTTTTGAAGTATTCTAAAATTTCTTCTGTTGATATCTTCTGTTAAGATTAAGATAGCTTCCAAGAATGACCATCTAAAGCTTAAAAGAAAATCTCAGAGATAATAGAGGACGGCTCTGTTTGGAAATGCTGCATTACCAAGAGTCTTGAGAGCATAACTATACTGCGTAGAAAACTTTGACACCTATGTCTTTGAGTAAAGGAATGATCCAGAAGAATGGAACACTGAGTATAAAAAATTTGTATTTTAACAATCCCTACAAGTGATTTTGATGCAGGCTATGGTTTGAGATTGACTACTCTAGGCAGAATTTCAGACAAAGAAAACATATTGGTATTCTTATGTTCAAATCAGGTGTATGAGTATCTTACTGTATCAGAACATACAGATTCATTAAGTTCAGGTCTGTTAAATCTGATAGGTGTATTTAAGAGGAATGAAGAAATTCTCTGTGACGTGTGTTAGATATCTACCAGGAGTATAGGCAGAATAACAGAATAGTCCAAGAGCTGCATCTCCTTTGCTTTTGATTGATATTTGATTTTGTCTTCTCAGCATGATGTATCTCAGACATTACTCAAGGCCACACTGGACAGTGTTGTAGAAGAATGTGTCAGCTTTGTGGGAGTGGATATTAACATCTGTTCAGAAGTTTTGCTAAGGTGAGACAGAAATCTGTAACTGAAGATCATAGAATCTTGAATATAATTGGCTATCTAGTCCAAACTCCAGCAGAACAAGAGACATGTGTAAAGTTGTCAAGTGTAGAAAACATATGGATTATACATTGCTTTAGATAATCAGAGAGAAAGATGTCATTTAAGGAAAGAATTATAACAATTCACATTATCATTTTTAATATTGCAAATATAAAGTGAAAAGCATATGGCAACCATTGAGTGCATTAGTGTCTCTAATAGAATTTAAATAAAGTTAACATGGAAAAGAGCTGTTTCCCACATGAGAGCAGGTATTTTTCACTAGTTCATTCTCTTGCATGCATTGATCATAGTTAGCATCAACCAAAAGATAAAATTCTGAAATTCCAACGTCTGGTCACCATATTTTTACCCTGATTCCACATGTCACCTAACAAAATTTCCATCATACTGATTTATCTTACATACTGTCCTTTTTTTTACCTGTGGTTGCAGAAGAGCTGCTTTTTCTGTTTGTAGTCTTGTATTTATTGCACACTATGGTATTGCAGTATGAAATTCCCTGATCTGGACCTTTTTTACTGAAACTGGTACAGTGGAAAATATCCTTCATGTTTTAAGGTATTGCTTGTCCGCCATGGCTACAAACATTACATAATTCCAAATATGGAATTCCATAATAGAATTGAGATTCTCTGAAATAATGTTTTAGTTGACACCAAGCAAACTACCTAATGAAATTGTTCTCATTCTAATGTCAACATTCATGGATAAGTATCCTTCTGTGGTTTTCTTTAATGAAAACAGACAGATCCCCACCACCACCACAAAAGGATGGTACAACATAATCATAGCTATTGAAACTTCTACTGCTAACTGTCATTTTAAGCTAAATAGAAATAGAGTTTTCTCTTGATTCAGAAATACGATGAATTTGAGAATTATTATAAAGAATTTTTTTTCCCTTGAATCAGTGTTGACCACTTACCAGCCTCTTTGACAGCATCTGGTTTTGTCATTATTTTTGCATTCTGTTGTCCTTATTTCCTGTTTGCCCTTTTGATTTAATACCCTTTTGTATTAACTTTTGTCATATAATATGTAATTGCAATTGATTTTATGACTAGATGTTTTATATCATTATCTTTTTAGACGAGAACTTTTTCCCAGTTTATTCATTTTGTCTACTTATTTATTTTTTAGGCACATTGCAGGACTCAATGCCAACAGAGCCAAAAATATTATTGAATGGCGAGAGAAAAATGGACCCTTTATCAACCGAGAACAGCTGAAGAAAGTGAAAGGGCTGGGTCCAAAATCCTTCCAACAGTGTGCTGGTTTCATCAGAATTAACCAGGATTATATTCGAACATTTTGCAGGTGATTATAAAAGTGTATTTCTCATACTATTTTCTTCCTTCTCTCTTTTGATGGTTACTCAGCCTATGACTGACATAAATTCTAGATGCCCCTGTTTATGCCTTCATTCAGTATGTGTCGAGTGTCTGTTTTTTGCTAGGCACTGGGAATGCAGCAATTATGAAGTCAGCAAATTCCCTGTTGTCATGGAGTCATGAAGTTTGAAAAATATAATCAACTAGTAAAATAAATAGCTTCAGATAGTACATAAGTGCTATAAAAATTAAAACAGAAAGATGTGACATTGTGTTGGAGAGCAGGGCAAATGCTTTAGATGAGTTATTTATTTAAAAGTTACTTCAGTAGAGTTTTACATGAAACAAAGGGGCCAACTGCACAAGGATCAGAGAGAAAGCAAACAGTGAGTGTGCAAAATTTTAAGGTAGGATCAACTTTGGTATATTTGAGAAACAACATGAAGGCTAGCATGATTAGAGTGTAGTGTAGTAGGAAGAAATGGTCTGAGATGAGGTGTCAAATATGATTTAGCACTGACTACTTCATGTTGATAACTCCTCCCTTAGCATTAGTTATCAATTTTGTAGATTAAATTAAATTCTTACTTTCTTTTTTCTACATTTTTATTGGTGCATTATAATTATACATAATGATGGAATTTGTGTTACATATTCATACGTGTACACAATATAACAATATAATTTGGCCAGTATCACTCCCTGGCATTCCCCCTAAATTCTTTTTTTTTAACTTAATTATTTATTAATTATGTGGTGATGAGGATCACACCCAGGTCCTCACATGTATTGGGCATGTGCTCTACCACTGAGCCACAACCCCAGCCCCTCCTCCTAAATTCTTACTTTCTAATCCTGGTAGCACAAAAGCAAAGAAATTAGATAAACTTCTTAGCATTTTATAATTATGAAAAAAATAGCTTTTATGTATCTGCTCCTGTGGGATTACTTAACTTATTGACATGTATTTTTTCTCTTGACAGAATTATAATAAAGGTTATATGAAAAAATAATCTTTATTCTAGAAAAGACTAAAGGGAAAGCAGCCCCACAAGATAGTAGGATATATTGTAAAGCTTAATAACAAACATATTAATGATTTAAACGTGGTTTTGATATAGAATAAATAAAACAGAATAGAGTCTGAAATCCACCAAAATGTAGTTGGAACTTAGTTTATAATAAAAGTAACAATTCAAAAACTGGGGAAAAGTTGATAAATTATCCATAAATGGCATTTATGACAACTATCAAAAGTTTGATATGTGTGAAGGATGCTGTAGTTCCACTTTACTTGTTATACTCAAATTTCAAATGGATTAAATGTAAAAAGAGAAACTGTTTTAAGTACCAGAACATGGGTAAGTCTTGCAGAACAATGGAGTGGTGGAAGTTCCAAATAGATCACAAAATCCTGAAGGCAGAAATAAAATTGATGATAAAATAATTCTCTATTTGTTTTATGTTTTTTGAACACTCTATTCAAAAAGTCCAATAGTTTTTTAAAAGAAATAAAAAGTGAAAGGTGCCTGCAATTTGTCATTTACTCTCTTGAAAGATTTTTAGGTTTTTAAAAAATTATTTATGTCAGATGTGAGTCTTTTTTCCATTCATCTTATTCTGTATTCACTAGATTCTTTTGAAAACTTGGGATTTTCTTCAACTGAGAAATCATCATCTTATTATTTGCATTTTTCTGTTCTCTCGTAGAATGCCAATTGCACAGACTGAATCAGTTAAGAATGTTTTTGGCTTTAACTAACAGAAAGATCTATTAACAATGGTTTAAACACATAAGTGATAGTTTCTGTGAAGTGAATGGTTGCTGTTTGTGTATATTTCTATGGCAGATAAATAAACATGCCTTTAATTAAAGTGTCTTTTCTTTTCTGCCCAACCTTTCCTCTTTTTAAAATTTGTTTTATTCTGGGTTTTAAATGACTGCCATAGTCAGCAAACTGAATCTTCAAGCCAAATTCAAGCGGTTGCTGTAAAATCTTCAGCAGGAGAGGTCACAAGTGAGAAGCAAGGCAAAAAGAAGAGCAAAACTACAGTGGATATTGTACTGAAGCCAAATCCTCTGGATCAGACTTGTATTCATCCAGAATCATATGATATAGCAATGAGGTAAGTTTGAAGCCCATGTAAGAATTCTCCATGCCCATAGTGAATTCTCTACAGCAAATGACCTTTGTTTGGGCATAATGGAAATTGAAAAATATGACTATGTTTAATAACATGACAACATTTTTTAGAAGTTCCGCATTGCTCAGTTATGTGGCACATTATTTTATTTCATTGAGGAATGAAACCATTATTCCTGGATCAGTGTCAAGCTAATAAACCCTGGTTCTAATGGTTAAGTGTGTGTAATGGAATTTGCATGGCACTCTCTTCTGTTTGTTTTGGAAATTAAAAGGACACAATTGACTAGCACCTGGTGTAATCTTATGCTTCTCTAAAGTTAAAGCACTTTTGAAAGTAAACAGCCAATTCAGAGTTCCTAAGAAATACTGTCCTGGTAAGTTATTACAGAATCTAAGAAACAATGTGTCTTTACAATTTAACACAGAGTGATACAAGAAGGTTTTTGAATACAAGAGAAGTTTAATATAAGGCATTAAAAGAAAAAAATAACTTTTTAATAGCACATTTAATTAGCTTTAAAATTTTTTAATCAGTTCAAAACCAGTGACTTGCTGAATTATATTATAGTGAGTTAAAAAATAGTGAATAATTTATTGACTTTAAAATGGATATGAAACTTGTCTTGAAATTATTTAAGTAAATTCCATTGGTTTGTTTTCTTTTAAAACTGTTTAAAAGATAGAGCACATTATAGTGAATTTAGAAAATAGGGGGAAAAGTAAAAAATAATATTCTGTTAACCTCAAAACAGTGCTTTCTCCCCCCCCCAACATTTTATTATGAAAAAATGTAAACACACAAAAATGTTGAAAAAAAATCTAAAGTGAAGTCCTCTATACCCACATGTAGATTTTATCGTTTACATTTTATTCTACCAGTTTTTCCCCATATATATCCATCTGTTCTTCAATTGGTTTCTTATTTTTTGGATGCATTTCTGTGTGCATATATGATTACACAACCAGTGTAATTCTACATCATGTACAACCAGAAGAATGGGAAGTTATACTCCATATATGTATAATATGTCAAAATACATTCTGTTGTCATGTATAACTAATAAGAACAAATAAAAAATTGCAGACATCAATACACTTTCCTCTAAATTCTTCATCATGAATACAATTAACTATATATTTTTTTAAGAGAGAGAGAGAGAGAGAGCAATCGAGAGAGAATTTTAATATTTATTTTTTAGTTTTTGGTGGACACAACATCTTTGTATGTGGTGCTGAGGATCGAACCCGGGTCGCACGCATGCCAGGCGAGCGCGCTACCACTTGAGCCACATCCCCAGCCCAATTAACTATATTTTGATGATTCTTTACAGTATTTTTTTAGGCAAAATTCATAGACAATTAAATTTTAACTATACTTTAGCTGAATTTTGACATATACCTACTACATCTGTGTAACCCAAACCCCTATAAAGAAAGAGAATATTACTGGTATCCCCAAACGTTTTCTCTTCCCTGCCAATCCTGCTCCAGCCTCCCAGAAGTAACTACTTGTTCTAATTAGTTTTTTACTTTTAGAACTTCATGTAAGCAATACCACAGTTATCTTCATGTCACCAGAAGTGGGTATGAAGAGGTCACTCCAGAGACAGAGGAGACCTGTACTTGGACCTTCTAATCTCTTGATCATGTTTAGAAAAGAGTCAGGTTTTAGCGAAGAAAGAAACAACTTTATTAGAAAATGAAAGGTGAAGATAGGCATTCTCAGAACAGAATGCAGGGAATCTTGAGACATACCCACCACCAGGGAATAAGGTTGGGTTTTTTTAGGGTACATAACAGTTGAATATGATGCAAAGGGCCTGGCCTTCCCCGAGACTGCAGTCTGGTCTGGTTTGTTGCTTTCTGCTGATATCAACATCTGGTGGTTGTGTGCTCTGTTGGATGATCACATGGTTGATAGGTTGATCACACACTTGAGGGTTGTATTCTGATCAGTGTGTTAGCCTGAAGCTTCATGTGGTTAATGGTCTTTTTCTATTTGATTTTTGTTCCTGCTTTGCTACATTCTAGAAAACTTAAGAGCTGAAAAGTTATGAAGTAATTTATGGGATGTTTAGGTTCTCTTACATTTTGGTCCCTTTCTATCCTTTAGGCTTTTTTGTCTAGCTTACAAGTTGTTCACAAGCTACCCATTCATACTCTAACAGGAACATTTCTCCTTTAGACACTCAATTTTCTCTCAGTATCTCTAAATTTATATCTGACTCATTTGCGTAAGGCTTCTTAGAGCATGGTGTTTATGTTTAGAATTTTATCTACCTTGTAACACATACCAGCAGCTTGTTCCTTTTCATTGCTGAATAGTATTTCATTGTGAAGGCATACTGTAGCTTATCTATTCTTCTATTTATAGATTTTACGAGATACTGGAAAACCAAACTATTTCTTTTATTCTTTACTCTCAGTATGATATAGAATATTTCTGAGATCTCTGGTCACCAAAATGTGTGTCATCAAAACCCAATTCTGTAACTGATTCTTTACCAGATACTAGCTGGACACCCTCTAATTCAATTATAACACCATCTACCTAGTGGTAGTGTCAGATTCTACAAGTTTAGGGTTTAGGGTTCTGTCCCACAAAACTGCCCCCACTTCAAGTGCAAATCACAAGCACAGATTGTGACTTGGGCTTTTGACCATCCTGTTCCAAATTAGGACTCCCTAATGTGCATAAGGCCCTGAGTTCCATCTCCAGTACATCCCCCACAAAAATAAATAAACAAACAAACAAAAGAAAGAAAATATTAATTGGGGTTCCCATGACACCCTCCTTGGGTTTAGTTAATTTGCCAGTTCATAGAACTCAGGGAAAATACTTATGTTTATCCATTTATTATGGAGGATATTTCCAGGATACAAATGAACAGCCAAATGTAATGGACGCATAGGACAAGGTAGGGGATAAGGGGCATGGAAACTTTTGCTGTTCCGGGGGCACTGCCTTCCCAGTACCTGCACATGCTCAGCTGCCTGGAAAGTGATCTGAATCCAGTACTTTTTGTTTTTTGAAGAGGCATGATCAGTTACATCATTGTCTATTGGTGATCGGCATGAGGCTTGAAATTCCAATCCTCTAATCACATAGTTGGCTTTTTTGGTGAGCAACCCTCATCTTGAAGCTATCTAGGGACCTCTAGCCACCAGTCATTTCATTAGCATGCAAAAGACACTTTTATCCCGACATTACAAGGGTTTTAGGAACATTCTGCTGAGAAATAGGATAAAGATGAAATATATATATTTTCCCAATATCACATGGAACTTGTCTATTTTCAGTTTGGCTTTTATGAGAAAAATGTTATGAACATTCTTGTACCTGATGACTTTACTTCCTATCTCACTGAAAAAATTCAAAACTACCTTATAGTCCACTTGTCTGATTGTCTCCTTATCTTTATTCATTGTGTCCCATCCTTACCTAAGCTACCCTTCATTTCTTCATTCTGTTTCCATCTCCCAGGCTGCTGCTGAGAACTCTTGGCCCCGGCTATTATTGTAATTGTGTGTCATAATCACTCCACTTCTAAAAATGAGGCAGAAAGTGGCAGGTAAATGAATAAGGTCTTTTAGCTTTATAAAATTATGTGAATGTCTAGTATTTTAATGTCTCCACTTATACCTGTAGCCCTCATTTAAGATGGAATTAAATGAGGGCTACAGACTTACTGCTGCAACCTCCCCATTCCTTACTCCCTTCCTTACTCCCTGAGAGCTAAGCATAGCAACCACTTTTTGTCTTACTTTTCTCTAGAACTTCTAGTCCACCTCACCTCCTTTTCATTGCCAAATTTCTCAGAAGAACTACTTGCCTCTAATTCTTACTGCCTGCTTTCTCCCAGTCCTTTACAGATTGGTTTTCATCCTTGCCCAGGTTTTGAAATTACTCTCTCAATCAGTGACCTCAATTGTCAAAACCAGTGAACTCTTTCATCCTTAAACAACTTAACCTTGCTGCCATATTTGACACCATCAACTCACTGGGAGGCTATTACAGGTAGTTGATTTTCATTCTGAGTGAACTCAGAAATCATAGCTGGGTTTTGAGCTAAAGAGCCTGATGTACATGTTAAAAGGACCCTATTGTTTGCTGTGTAAGCAATAGAAGATAGGAGGCAGTGGGAGAAGGAGGGAGATCGGTTATACTAATTGCAGCAATCCAAGTGAATGATGATGATGATTGACATTCAGATGATAGCAGAAGTGGTGAGAAGTGGATATGTTCTCTGTACATTTTGAAAGTAAATTCAATATTTGCTGACAGATTGGGTGAAGATTATGAAAGACAGTAGCTGGTTATGAATGACAAAAATAAGATGTAGAAAATGAAGTAGAAGTTTACTATATTGGAAGGAGAGAGGGAAAGGAAGAAGTTAAAGAACTAAATAGTGATCACTCCCTTGGTACTCTCTTTCAGTTTCGTGGTTGCAGAAGTATCATAAGAAAATGACTTCTAAATTTCTATATTTAAACCAAATCATTCTTTCAAACTTCATACTGTATATATAGCTATCTACTTAGCACCTCAAATCTAACATGTCTAAAACTTGACCTTAGGTCTTTCCTCTGAATCTTACTCCAACTACAGTCTTCTTCATCTCAGATAATTTCATTCATCCCTTCAGCTTATTATACCAACAATTCTGAAGTCATCCTTAACCTTGTGAGGTCTTTCTGAGTTCTTTCTTGAGTGATGTTTGTATTTCATGAAGGGCCCTAGAAGTGAGGACAGTCTGACTGCGATTTCTATCATCTCATTGATTGCCAGAGTTGATTTAACTGATCTGGCTGGCTAAGTGGGTGTCCCTCCCAAAGTTGCGCACTTGGTCAAAGAGGACAACCTTCCCTGATAGAGGAGGACCATGCTTCTGTCAAGGGGTGTACGGATAGCAGCTAGAACCTCCACCAAGCTCATAACTAATTATTTATGTCTATTATTGATGTCTATTATAGTACCTGGTAGTATAAGTTTTTTTTTATTTGTTTTTGTTTTGTTATATTAAGGATTGAACCCAGAACTGCTATACCATTGAGCTGCATTCTCAGCCCTTTAAATTTTTTTTTTTCTTGGCGACATGGTCTCAAGAAGCCCAGGCTGGTCTTAAACTTGCAATCCTCCTGCTTCAGCCTTCCAAGTTGCTATTACAGCATGTGCCACTGTGCCTATCTCTGCGAGTTTAAGTTTTATTCTTCCTATTTTGGTAGACTCTTGGAGGTCATAAATGGCCTGTGTTCATTTTTATGTTATTTAGGCACTACTACAGTGATCTACATGGTCCAAATAATTAATAAAATCATAACAACAAAATTCATACAGTAAATATTGGTACCATAAAGAATTCAGGAGTTGGGGAACACTAAACTGATCTTAGAAGTGAGGGATCTTAAAAGAAGACCCATCTTGCTTAAAATCAAGAAAAGAATAATAGGTAAAAAATTTAATTGAACAGTTTCTTTAATGTGACCCTCATTACTCCCTTCTGTTCCACTTATTCATAATCAACTTAGGTGGTCAAAAAATTATGACAGTAGAATATCATATTTAAAGCTGTAAACTTCTCCATTTGTCCTTGCCCCCATAAAGTAAATGATGCATCTGAAAATTTAGTTCCAGATATGCTTAGGCTAGTGACAGTTAAATTTAAGTTTAGTTTATAATGGTAGACTGTAAGCTCTAAATAGGGACCATAAGAATCTAGTTTACCACTGTATCCCCAACACCTAACAAAGACCGATAGGGCAGTATTTGAAAGAATAAATGATAGAAATAGAGAATAGAAGATGTCTAAATAGAAGAACATTGAGGAAAAGGAACTCAAGAATTGACACTTTAATAGAAAAAAAAATGAAATATTTAGCTTTACTTCAATCTGAATATTTTTATCTATCATCTACACTGGCTGAGGTCAATGCAGTTGTACAAGCAAACCTGCTGCTAGAACATCTAGATCATTCTTTCATGGCATTGCCTTTTCCTATATTGAGGAATTATTTTCAGATTTCCCTGTGGATAGAAAGGATTTCAGAACCTCTCCAAAGTGAATCCCACTCACCTTCACAAAGCATTGCGTCCAGTGCCCAAGCCATCCTAGATTTTATACACTGGAAAACCAGAGACAGTCTGTGAAGGAGGATTTCTTCCTGTTTTCTGTCATCATCAAGCAGTCATAGTGTATCCACATGTGAGTGATTTCATTATGTTGGTTACTGTAAGGCATGAATAAAATTACTGCTATGTTATGAGTTAGAATGAGGCCCAGAATGGCCTATGTAGGGGTTCCCACACCCCACCTCCACCATGCCTCCTTTCCTTTTATCCTGCCATTTGGGTTGATCTTGAGAACCAAGGCATGTATCCAATCTGCCCCAACTCCCCCATTTTTTTTTTTTAATGTAAGGTGCCAGGAAGTCGTGCTTTATGCTCTAGATGATACTGATTTGTATGTGTCCCAGTAAGACCTGGCACTCTCCCAAAGAATCTATTGCATTAAGAATTTCATGCACTCCAGATAGTTAAGCTTGAAAGTTGTACTCTTGAAAAATACCAGGAAATTTAATGTCAAGACTGTCACTCAGCACTCATTTTGATAAAACATTAGCTATTTTTTGTTATTTCCATGTTGGCCATTAGGGAGAAATTATAGGACTAGTTTCTAGAAGTAGTTAACAGCCTGTGTAACAGGAATATGACATTGTAGTACCATTATCACATACTAGATAAATGTACATCAAGGAATGATTTGCATTAATGCTATATTATAATGTTAGTACTGGATATTTTCCTTATTGTTGATGATGTGCCTGTTTCTCACCCTTAGCAATCAATGCTGAAAAGTGTTTGTGTGTGTGTGTGTGTGTGTGTGTGTGTGTGTGTGGTGTGCATCTGTATGTGCTAGAGATTGAACTTAGGAGTACTTTACCAATAAGCTACATTTTGTTTTGAGACAGGATTAACTAAATTGCTGAAACTGACCTCACTTTTGATCCTCCTGCCTCAGACTCACTGGGATTACCAGCATGTGGCCTGAAAAGTATATTTTGAGAGAATAAAGAACCATGAATTTAAAATTTAGGTCTAGAACAGGAATGATCTTATCAACTTGACAAAATCTTTATTTACAGAGGGAATAAGCTTCTGTTTTAAAAAAAATCTAAGCAATATTTATCTTTAATTTACTAAAAACTTGTGTAAGATTTTTAAGAGCAAAAGAAGAATCAACACAATTGATACACAAGAATTCCATGATCAGATCAGTGGCTAGATGGACCCTAACTGGTGCCCTGGATTAGAAGTAGTTAGGACTAGCAGGAGGGAGGTTGGGAGGTCCTGCCTTGTTGGTGCCTGCTATGGAGCTAAAATAAGTCAAGCCAGATAATGACCAATGGCCAATACTGAAGACCCTGAGTAGGTGCTTTCCAGTCTCTGGCTCTTTCTCATTTCTGTTCAAGGATTTAGCCTCACTTTTGAAATTGCCTTCAGAGGTTTTATGGCCTTCAATCTTCTTTCCAAGTAAGGAAAGAAGTTTTCTAGCTAGTAAACAACTATAAAACAGAGAGTTTAAATTGCTTTTGGGTTTAAAAAAACAAACAAACAAACAAAAAAACACACACACAATTAAAAAAAAAAAACAAGAGTAGACCTATGCCAATCACACATGTGATTTCATAGTTTCAACTGTGAGCAGTCAGAAGCCCCAGACCTTGTCAATTGTGATTCTTCTGAGGGATATGTCCCTGAGTTCACCTCCCACTCCTCACATATCTAAAATTCACCACAGCTTTGTTCCGCAGTAGCATGCCACCTAACTCCTATAGTCTGAAAACATGTTTCTTTATGGAAGACTAGCCTGAAAAGAAATCCAACTGCAAGTTCTGTGACATAAATGACAACTAGATAAATAGACCTAAGAATTTATTTGCATATTTGAAAGATGTTGAATTTTTCTAGATTTGTCTCAGAATAATTGACAGTATTTTAGACATGAAAATTTAGGGAGAATCATTGCTGGATTTTGACAAGCAATTTACTTGGCATTTCTATCAATTCATTATCCTGCATTCATTTCTAATAGAACTATCATTAGAAAATATTAGATTGGGGCTGGGTTTGTGGCTCAGTGGTAGAGCGCTTGCCTAGCATACATGAGGTACTGGGTTCAATCCTCAGCACCACATAAAAATAAAAAATTAAGATATTGTGTCCACCTAAAACTAAAAAAATAAATATAATAAAAATATTAGATTGCCTTTTCAGAAAAATAAGAATCATAAAGGAGATCTCAGTAATTTCACATTGATTACATGTAGGAACAATATGTTGAATATATCTGGTTAAATAGAATATGTGATTAAAATTTTTAAAAAAGAATTATAAAGGAGAGGCTAAATCTAAAAGTCAAAGATGTTAAATGGACAGAGTCCTAATTTTTTGTTTAGTGATTTTTTTATTAATAGTTAAGACTTAAATAGCATACTTTAGCTCTCAGGAAGTAAATTTATATTTTCAAAAGTACCCTCACAAAAGAGAAAAGTGATAAAAGAGAATCCATCCACTTTAGAGTTAGATGATTAGGCTCTCAGGTTCTTGGGAATTGATTATCCTTTCTGATGTCTTACACAATATTCAACATACTACCCACACAAAGTTTCTGACAAAGCTAGTAGTAGGGAGTATGGATATGAAGTTCAAGGACCTGAGACTGTGAACATGGCTTTGCCCTAGTCAGTCTGGAGGCATTGCAGTGTCAGAAGGTCTGATATAGCTATTTGACCTGGCACTGTTATTTAACCTCCCTGTGCCTCAGTATTCTTATCTGTTAAATGGTGATAATAATACACCTTTCTCATAGAATTACATGAGTTAATGTATTTGGAATCCTTAGCTCTTGGGATAAGTAGGTTAGTATAGTTGCTGCAGTTAAGGCTGATCCCTTGGTTGTAATTAAGAAGGTGGGGTCAAGCTGAACCATAAAAGAAAACATGGGATATATCACAACAGTTTGACTCGGAGGAAGTTTATTGTTTTGTCATGTGATCTAGATGTAATTTGGAGCATTTAACATTGTTGATTTATATTCATACTGGCTCTTGGGACTGGAGAACATGCTAGTTTTTCTCCTGCATATCTGGAGCAACTTGTTAGTACCCACTGAGGGAGGAGAGGGAACTGCCAGCCACCTACAATAAACCTTGAGCTTGCTTCAGGATTATATTTTCAAAGCATGTGTCTGCCCTTCTCCTTGTCTTCTCTTCAACTTTAGGCCACTAAGTCTGGAGCCCAAAATTCAAGAGGATATTGATTTGGTCTCCCATTATCTCCTCTTTCTTTGTTCCCAGGCTAGATGTGGATTTGAATCTCAGCATGTCTTTTGCTACCTCAGTAATCTACTTTGTCACCATAAGTAAGTGACTTTGAGCTCAGTTGCCCACTCTTTAAATGGATAGCAGTGTCTCTGCCCATTCAGGGAACAGCCAAGAAGTTAATAAAATGAAGATGTTACATAATAATAAATAAGATTATTTTTTTAACAGGTTCATGTTCATAATAGAATACTGTGTCCCAATGAAGAAAGTCCTTACCCTTAAGAGGTGGGTTTTATCCCTGTTTGTGCTAGAGCTGTTTAATTTCAGCCTTTCCACTACTCCTATCTTTTTTCGAATGCTACTTTTTTATTTGTCTCTTCAAATACACAGGCACTAATCCACATCATGGCTTTACAGGCAGTAAATTAAATTATATTAATTCTAAACACAGTGTTTTTGAGCTGTAGAGAGTCTGCAGCCTTTGAAACCACTAACTTAATTTTGTCCAACTCTTATTCAGTAACTCAAAAAGGGCCAAAGTTTTTTTTTTTTTTTCTTTCAAATTCGGTTTAAAAATAATAATAAATTGTTCCCAGGCAGGGGCCCTGGGTGCCAAATTTTATCTAAGATCTAAATCTTCTGTCTGCATTGAAAATTCTCCAAAGTAAGGAGGTGGAAGTGCTAATGACGATGTGATGTATAACTTTTACCTTAGCTACAACTTGTGGTCTCAGTGTGTGACTTTGCGCTGGTCCCTTAGTTTTTCTGAGGTTTGCTTCCTTTTTCTGCAAATCTACAGCTACAGTAAATTTTTGAGAGAATTAAGTGAAATCATCTTTGTTGAGCACTTTCAAAGTATCTATTTATCCAAATAGAAAAATTTGCCTCTGAAAAAATAGATATGAGTAGAAGATTCTTTAATTCAATTATACTGTCATTATTAGACTATAATCTCACTCATGGCAAAGATTCTGTTATGATCTTTGATGGTCTCCTCTTCACGAAATAAATATTTATTGAATAAGCTGAGTAGGCTTTTCTTTTTTGCCACAGTGGGGATTGAAACCAGGGTTCTCTACCACTGACCTACATCCCCACCCCTTTTTATTTATTTATTTATTTATTTATTTATTTGAGACAGGATCTCACTGAGTTGCTGAGGTTCCAGAACAACTGCCTGGCACTTGTGATCCTCCTGCCTCAGCCTCCGGAGTCTCTGGGATTACAGTGTGTGCCATCATGCCCAGCCCTAGGTGTGCCTTTCCAAACTGCTTTTAGTTGACCTGAGCATTGTGTTGCATTCCTTTGAAAAGCTTTGATTTAAGCAAATCTTTATCATTTGAGGTAGGGGTGTGTATGTTTAAAAACAACCAATATTCTCTGGAAAGAGGTGATCAAACTAAGTAATACTGAGTTGTTAGGGTTTTTTGTTTTATGTTTTTCTGGTTATTTATATATATAATCTATGAAGTTTTCTTAATATGAAAAGACTGATTTTTTTATGTCACTTGTAAATTTGTTTCTAAGGCAATTCCTGAAACAGTTTAGACTTTTTTTTTTTTTTTTTTTTGGTACTAGGTATTGAACTCATGGGCACTTGACCACTGAGCACATCCCCAGCACTATTTTGTATTTTATTTAGACACAGGGGCTCACTGAGTTGCTTAGCACCTCATTTTTGCTGCGATTGGCTTTGAACCCACAATCCTCCTGCCTCAGCCTCCCAGAGCCACTGGGATTACGGGTTTATGCCACTGGGCTCCGCTAGTTTAGACATCTTTAAAGCAACAGTAGTTTTCAGTGCATGACACCTTCCTTTTTTATGTACTCATATTCATTTGGCTGATATGAATATACATTTGGTGTTTAAATTATAATTCCACAATCTATCATATATAGCAAGATATTCTGAAATAGATAATAATAATAATAGATAATAGATAATACAACATTGGTTATTATCCAACTGATCTTAGATATTATAGTGTAACTGCATGAGTACTGTCTTTCCCTATTTCTAAAAGGAAGACCATCTGTATTAGTCAGCTTTTCACTACTGTAACTCAAAGACTGACCAGAACAACTGTAGAGGTGGAAAAGTTTATTTGAGGGCAACAGTTTCAGAGGTCCGTGTTTAAAAACAACCAATACTCTCTGGAAAGAAGTGTGATCAAACTACGTAATACTGAGTTGTTGGGGTTTTTGAGAAACCTAGAGAAAACCGGCTCCATTCTTTAAGGCTCAAGGTGAGGCAGAACAATATGGCAGAAGAGTATGGCAGAGGAAAGCAGGTCACATGATGATCAGGAAGGAGAGAGAGAGACAGACTGATAGATACACTCCACTGGCCAGATACAAAATATATACCCCAAAATGCATGCCCCCAAAGATCTACCTCCTCCAGCCATACCCTACCCACCTTCAGCTGCCACTCAGTAAATCCCATCACAGGATTGATTCACTGGTTGGATTAAGTATCTCATGACCAAATCGTTTCTCTAAACCTTCTTGCATTGTCCCACACATGAGCTTTTTGGGGACACCTCACATCCAAACCATAATACCATCCTAAATCTTAAACTTTTAGAAGATTTCTGTGTAAAGACATTTTAACTGGCACTTTTTTTTCTAACAGTTAATTCCCTATAGTATGTTACTAGGGAATAAGAAGTTTAAAATGAAACAGCTTTCTAAGTATATGTTATCACACATACAATTAATGCAACATGCAGTGAGTATCCAGTTTCTGCACAAGTGTAACAGATTCTTAAAAAAAAGAAGGAAATGTTTAGTTCTTCAGAAGTTAAAAGCAGGTAACAATATGATCTTATAAAGCAGTCTTTTGGCAGGAAAACCTGTGTTCTTTAATCCATGGCAGTGTGTTTTTGTTTGGTTTTATCTGGGTTGGTTTTTTTTTTTTGGCTACTCCTCAGTGCAAGAGGTGCTCCAAAGACATTCCAAATGGTACCAAGCAATAACATTAAAGGTACCCTACCCAGCCCAGGTAGCTGCACATTATTTAAAACTGTACTCTCAGATCAGTCTGTGAAAGCTTTCAGAACAAGCCTGCCACCCTCTCTGAACCGGTTACATTTTAAAACTATTTATCTGTTGATAATATGTTAATTTTGTTTAAGTCCAGTCAGCGGTACATTCTCATGAAGAGTTATTTGTGCTTACTTTCTGTTGATCAAATGCTGAGAAAAGCCATTTAGATATTATTTTCATTAGCTCTTTACTAGCTTCTGTACTAAGGAGGTATTCTGGGGGCCTCTTCTTAACTGTACTCTCCTTGAATTTACAACTCCTTGTGGGTTTTACACCAACATAGATTTTTAAGGATTCTGGCCCAGTTCAGTGTCTTGGTTTAACAAGGAGGTTAGAAGTTTGAAAAGATTCTTTGATGATTAAAGTACAATTCACATTGTTGTCGCTTTGATTTGACCACTAGAGCAGCAGATGTGGTAAAGTTGGCCCTCTCTCTCTAAGCTCAACTCCATCCATGCTGCCCTGCACTCACCAGTGGGAATTTAGTTCTCCTGTAGATAAGGTCAGAGGAGGATTGATTTTTCTCCTTTGCCTCATTTGAACTTATATTCAGTCTTTCATGTTAACAACAATAGATTTGAAAATATATGTATTTTTAGAATAACAAAGTAATGCTGGACTTCTCATTCATGTCTCCCTATTCAATCTATAATCAGAGTTTTTAAAGTCCAGACTTTTTTCTTAAAGTGTAAGCTCTCTTTAAAACAAAAAACAAACAACCAACCAAAAATAAACACTACATTTCTCACTGTTTTACAAATTGGAACTTGTTCCTATTCATTTCCAAAATGATGGTGTTCTTGCCATTAATTTTTTTTGCTTATTGATGAAATTATGTTAAAATTGAGTAAAATTAATGGATAAAAACAAACAAGTACAAAGGTGTCTGAGAATGTAAGGTATGGGTAGACAGCTAGAAGTTCTCTGCCGGATAGCATGGTTCCTGGTGGAAGTATGAGTCATGTGTGCATTGCACACTAAGCACATGCTAATACGAAGTTGTTTTTACTGCTTGTGTTGCATCACCAGGCTTTTCTGTGCTCTGTAGGTATCATGTTGCTTTCGTGTAATGAACCTGAGTCCCCAGCGCCTAAATCTCCATGCTGGAAGTGATTACATAAAACTGAACAGCTATGTCTGAAGTCTCGTGAATTCTGAGAATTTCTTCTTCTTTGGGGGAAAAATATATATATATAAAGACTGTTCTTATTCTTTGAGAAGAAAAGCCTTGCATTTGTAACAAGTCTCTGTTGGACATACCACTGATTTTATAGTGTATAGCTTTGAGTGATTTAGTTATGTAGCTTTCTGTTTGAAAAATAAGCATTATCTCTGTTCCAAGGTCTGTATTTTAACTTTGTGCAGATGTGTGCTAAAAGAACATGATGTGCTTATTTGTTGCATTTATGCTACTTTCTTACTTTAAGTAAGATGGATGAAATTACATATTAAATAAAAACAGCAGCTCTAGCAGCAGTCCTTAGTAAGCTGAAAAAGCCTTCCAGAGACAGTGGAGAAAATGAAACTATGACTTCAATAACTCATTAACTTTGGAGAGAATTTGTCTATTTAAAAGCTTGTATATGATAATTCTTTGTGGGATTTACTCAGTGTTAACTGTCTGGTGTTTAAAAGTAATCTTCCATTAAATCATGTTGGTAAAATATTATCCATAATATTGTGTTTTCTATCTTAACCAAATACAACACATTAATTTTTATGTACTTTCAGTTATATAGACAGATAACCTGTATGTGGAATGAAACTCCATTAGTAGGAATAGCTACATGGCCCTGGGCAAGTTATTTAACCTCCCTGAACCTTAATTTTTCTTTTCTGTATGATAGTATACAGGATTATTGTCCTTTTAGGATTATTGCCCTGATTAAATGAGAATACCCAGCTAGCATAATGCTATGCACCTACTGATCAGCACATGTTCTCTTACGTTCTGTGTTCCAAGCTTCTTAAAGTCATTTTAATTTAGTACTTTTGAGCTAGGAAATACTTGTATTGTGTATTATTTCTCAATTCTAAATTGAAAATTTGGAATATGTAGAATAATTTTTTTAGGCTCTATAAGAATCATATGTCTATTTAATGGCTACTAAGGAGAAAGCACTGCTTCCTACCATATGCATCTGAATATATTTGAAAGCCAGTAAGGAGAGGTCAATCCTAGTGCTACTCCCAGTTCATTTTATAGTCCCTCTCCCCTTTGGTTTGCTGTTTTTTTCTTTGTGTAACCTTCTTCTTTAAGAAAGTTTTCAAAGTAAAAAAGCACTCAACTTAACTCTGTAGTCATTTAAAAATAGAGTTGATCAATGTGAAGCATTAGCTAGGAGCACAACCTGGTACTTTCTTTTATTGATTTCAGTTACTGGTGCCCTCAGGCTTGTGTGTGTGAGAATGAAAATGATATGTGAAATAGGCACCCAGGTTAAACAGACCAATTTTCTTCTGAGATCTGCGATCACTATAAGTAGAATTCTTTATATGGAAATAACTTTGGTAGCAATTAGTTCCTCTCTTACACACAGATGCACAATCTAAAGACTCCAAGTGGCCTGCTGAGTGTGTATTTTTGTTATTGAGGCCAAGATGTACAGTGCTTTGGGAACTTTTTACTGTTTAGTTACTTCTATTAATTGTAAAATGCCATTCAAGCTTATAGATTTACAGCCCATGAATACATTTTTTGGGCATTTTAACAGATGGTTATAAGCCAGAATCTTGAGGATTTGAAAGATGTCCTGCTTAAGTAGCCAGTTGCAGACCAATAAAGCCAAGACAGTGAATACCAGGGAAGCCTGCTCAGCAGGGTATGAATTATTTAGAAACTTGTGTAAGGAAGTTGGCTGTGGGCAGAGGTTGTCATGTGTCATCTGCCCTGTCAGTCAGACCTCCAACAGCTGTGCCCTGTCACCAGACCCTATGTGCTACTGCCCATCCGTCAGCACTGATACCGGCTGCCTCTGCCTGCTGGGGGGAAGCTGTAGACTTACAAACTGGCTTGTAGTTTGGATAGAAGCTCATTTCCAAAGAAGGACATTAAGTCTCCTTATCTTTTATTAAACCATTTACTAAAATATATTCTCAAAAGATTAGCTGGATACTGAAGAATATGGAGATATTTATTTTATTTTTACCCACACACAAAAAGGCCATTAGAAATGTAGGAGAGCTGCTCATTTGAACTCAAAGGGACACCCTTGTTAAATCAGAGATGGAGGAGCTTTCTCCACCAGATACCAGATTATCATTACCAGAGTACTGCTGAAGAGGCACTTTCTGGTTGAACACAACAATGCAAAATAAAAACGTGGAATTATATATCCATTCCTTTTGTGATGACATAGCAGCCTGCCAAATGGGATACATCCCAGTCCTGACTGTAGACAAACTTCCAACAGTTTTCCTTTCCCTTCTTGTATTCAAGAGATGTCCTTAGAGGAAAGGATTTGAGGGCATTAGTATCACTGTCTGTCTGATTACTGTGTTGACGTTTTTAAAGTGCCATTAATCATAGGAAATGGAACTTAATGAAGTAGAAAAATACCCAGCCAAGGAATGTCAGAAAGTAAGCTACAGCCCAATATTCACATGAAATTGAAGGAAAATACATCTTAACCCTTTACTTGACTTGTCTTTTTCTCTTACTCATTTCTGAACTTCAAAGCTAAGTAGTTGAGAGGGAGCTGTACAAGCAAGGGAAATTGTAAGCATAGCAAAAGGAAATTTTTAAGTCAGCTCTGTTTATTTGGCAAATGTTGTAGCTATTTCATGCATAAAATATATAAAGATAATATTCATCTTTAGATTATACAATTGAGGTCTTAAACTTGATTCCATTTTGGAAGTAAATTACTTTTTGTTTCAGATATGCCCCCACTTTTGCTGTATGTATGTGTGTGTGTGTGTGTGTGTGTGTGTGTGTGAGAGAGAGAGAGAGAGAGAAAGAAAGAAAGATTGATTGAACCTAGGGCCTCATATGTGCTAAGCGCATGCTCTACCTTTAAACCCTTTCCCCAGCTCCCCTTCCATATTTCATCTGTTGAATTTTAGTATTGCATGTTCTTGATATAATTTAGTTAATATGAGACTTGATGGAATTGGGGAATCTTTAGGCCTAAAAGTGGGCTGCAAGGTGATGCTCCCATCACAGCCACATAAAAGTAAAAAGCAATGATACTACCCATGAATAGAACAAATCATTTGTCAGAAGCTGGCAATGCTTGATGCATATTTTGTTGGATAATACCAAAGTATTACCAATTAATGGTTTGCTTATTAGCTCATGTAAATTCAAATGTTATCCTAACAGAAATTTCAGGAAACAACCTTATTTAGAAAATATATATGACACTAGTCTACAATGAGCATTACTGTAAAATGTTCTGGTGCTGACTCTGAGCAAGTGCTTCATTTAAAAACAGTATAAGAACTCAGTCAACTCCATTCCCTGCCCCTGTCTTCCTCCACTCAAAATAGATCACCTCTTATAGCATGGTACTCATAGTAGATTCTCAATAAAGAATGATTGATTGATGTATGGTGATGTGTAGATCTGAGATGGCAATTTATAAATCTGAAATGAATTAATTTTAAGAAAATCTGTGTAAGGATAGTGAGAAAGAAGTAATATTATTGATAAATTTGGGGCTTTTCTTTCTACTGAAGGTTTTTATCATTCATTGGAGGGACACTGTATGAAATTGGAAAGCCTGAAATGCAACAAAAAATAAATTCATCCCTTGGAAAGGAAGGAATAGAGAAAACTGCTGAAAGATTGCAGACAACAGCACACACTTTACAGGTCATCATAGATGGTCTCAGCCAGCCTGAAAGCTTTGACTTTCGAACAGGTAAGTTGAACTTGAATTATAACACCTGGGTCTTGTTTAGCTTATGTTGTCTCTTTTGACCCCCATAACAGCTCTTTGCCATGAATAAAACAGATTCTTTCATTCTATATATGAGAAAATTGAACTTAGTAATTGTCCTTCAAAGTTCTTATACTTAATTTCGAGCCAAAGCTAAAAACCAGGTCTCCAGACTCCTTGCCCACTGTTCATTTGTCACATCACTGGACTAGATGCCTTGTATATGTCCTGCTTATGCATGAAGGCACACATTTTTTGTCATTCTTCTTGTACACTGTTTTTATATCCTAGAAGACAGAAGTGCAAGTTAAGTCATTCTACTCACAAACTAAAAAGTGAATCTTCATCCTAAATTACAGCCTTCCAAGTTTCTGGATTCAGTGTCAATGAGCACATTGAACAAATAAGATGATATCTCTCTGTTGATTTTACTTCTAATTAAAAGTGCTCTCAGCTTTCAGCACAGGTAGGGGGTGAGGGAAGTATAATAGCCATAGTTGTTGAGAGCAATGACCGGTGAAAAAGAATTAAGGTATTAAATGACCTACTTCCTAAGGAAGTTTGACTAGGAACCCCTGAGATTTAAATGAATCTGCACACTTGTCTCTTAATTAGTTTTGATGATGCCATATTTAGTGCTTGGCTCTTTTCAGTCTGGATTAGGCAGTGTAAGATAGTTGGACATGCTTCCTTGAAAAGATTTAAGGAAATTTCAAAACACACCCAGCAAGTTCATTCATTGTGCTATTCCCTAGTGTTCTGTAGGTCCTAAATTTAAAAAAAAAAGAATAAATAAAACACCCAGTTAGACCATGGCAAAAATGTGGGCATGGACCCCTCCAGATTGTCCTTCTCACAAAATAACTGTTTCAACAAACATATCCATCTCCATTTGGAAGCCTGATTCTTTGTGTGTGAGTGTCATGGATATGTCTAGCAGAAATACTACATAGAGCAGTGGTTCTCAAACAGGGTGGGTGTTTGGAGTGGCAGGCCTATGCCATGGCTGTGGATGGTTGTTAAATGTGCTTTAGCTACAGGTATCCTATACCAGGATATCCCTGTCCATTTTGTTTTTCTGTTATGGTGTTGATCACACCATCATCCCACTTATGTGGTGAACTTAGAGAAAAGATCAGCACTCAAATTATGTCGTCCACTTAGCCAACCAAATTAAGTAAGATTCTTACCTGAGATGCCCTTTGTTCAGCAGAAACATAGATGAACCTGGGCTTTGGACTGAGCTTTCCAGTTACTAGAGTGTTTATCAGTATGTTAAGTGACATTTCAAATATGTGTCTTTAAGCAACAAAAGTCACAATTGTATCTGAGAACTGTCATTTTGCTACATCCCCAAGGTGAAGGGAGAATAGTCACGCTTTTTGAGAAGGTAGATAATATTTTGGCTGTTTCCACATATTAGTATTTATGTTACATTTCTTTTCTCCATTCTTTCAAAAGTATTTCCTTTCTTAATGCTGATTCATTTTTTTCCTTATATTCATCCTGTCTTCTGTTTTCTCAGTGACATAATCGATTCCATTTTTATTAACAACAATGGTTGCAAGTTAGTTTCCATAGTGGGATTCATCAGAAGCAGTCTGGTGAGAGTGGCCTGAATACACAGCCTTGGCCATCAAAGTGTTAAAGTTTACAGGGTATATGGAGGATTTTCTGATTTCTCAGTGGCCCAGACTGTCTTCAGGAACATGTTAAGTAGTTTCTGACTCTGATTTTCCATGCAGAGTTAAACTAAGCAGCTGATCAGAACCCCTTGGGGAATCTGCAGCAGCTGGACCGCTGTAAGAAAAAGAGGGGCGGGGGAAGAGTTTCCAAGCATAAAAACAATGCCTTATAGGGCCTCAGAGACCATCCTACCTCTGGCCTTGATCAACGACTTAGCTTTACTTTGCTTTGACATAGTCCCTGCCCCTTGTAACATTACATTACAGTAGGCTTCTTGCTTTAGGAATTCATTGCTTTAGCATCAGGTGAAATTCTACAGAATCAATTCCAATTTTAGCATATTCTCTTTCTCTCTCTTTTTTTTTAAATGAGGAAAAAAGAGATTTAGGTTTTAAAGGAGGCTTTTGTTTTGTTTTACAGGAAAAAGCTTAATTTTTAAAAGATCCTGGTTTTAGTGTGGTTGGACTGGGGGAGGGGAACAAAGAGGTGACCAGTTGTTAATACAAATGTAAAGGATAGCTCTAACAAGTAATCAGGATAAAGCCAACAGCTGTGGAGGAAAAGGAAATGGACTGGGTGGAGGGGAAAATGAGGTCTTAGTAAAAGGAGATCCAAGCATAGAATGTGTTCTTTGTTATTAGAGTCAACACTCAGTAATCCTAGGAAAGGGGGCCAAGAAGAGCATGGATAAATGGAGGCCACAGATAATTCACAGGTCCATTTAAACTGTTAGTTCTCACTATCTCCCTCATAAAACCTGAGTTGTTGTTTTTTTATTTTAACTAGAGCCATAATGATTCCTTGGCATGCTTTATGTCCACCTTTTGGGGACAGTGAGTACTAGTGAACAGAGAAATAAATGTATGCTTGGATAAGCAAGGAATGAGGGGGCTGTAGGCACTTGATAACAGAGATCTAATGTCTTCACCTTTGTATCTCTAGTGTCCAGCAGAGTGCCCGGCCAGGAGGTAATAATAGGAGTTAATATATGTTTGATGAATTGAATTTGAAAGAAGAAAAAGAAGGTTGGGTTCTAGATGGTTTGGGTACCTGACCAAGACATCCAGAATCATAATTCATAAATTTTGTATAATCAAGAATCCATAAATATATTTGAAATGGACAAGAATTGATTCCTGAGTTCCAGTTTTGCAGAAAAAAATTAGAAGACAGAACATTTGAATTTCATCCACCTTTAACCAAAAGTTAATGTCTTTTCTGCCACTTTTATATAGCTTAAGGTTTCAGGCACTGAAAACAAAATTCCCAGTCCAAGGATCTTACTTTCTCAGTGTTTATGATTTAAGCATGTATATTCATTAACCAAAAATAATGTGGTCATCATTTCTTACAAAGAAAAATATAGTCGAAGACTATGAGTAGTGCAGATGTTTACATTAGTGATACAGAGTTCAGGGAGAAGAAAGTAAGTAAATCTTCTCAAATTATTTCTACTCTGTGACTGCTATTTCTTATAGAGTGCATTTTCTTTTTCTTATTTATTCATTTATTTATTTTTACATAAGCTCTATTATTATTATTATTTGCATTACAATTCAAGCCGGGATATGTCTTCTGCTGTGTTTATGTCCTCCTTCAAAGTCTAATATTGGTCTGAGCATATAATCAATATATAGTCAGTACTGATCCACTAAGTTATATTGTATCTAAGAAGTACAATGCATTATTAGTTACATAAATTTTTCCTCTTCCCTTACAGAGTTTGATAAACCTGATTTCAAGAGAAGTATAGTGTGCTTGGAAGATCTGCAGGTTGGAACAGTTCTTACAGGCAAAGTTGAGAATGCCACTCTGTTTGGGATTTTTGTGGATATAGGAGTGGGAAAATCAGGGTTGATCCCCATACGAAATGTAACAGAAGCAAAACTTTCTAAAACAAAAAAGAGAAGGAGTCTTGGACTGGGCCCTGGAGAAAGAGTGGAAGTCCGAGTACTGAACATTGACATCCCCCGATCTAGGATTACTCTGGATCTCATTCGGGTGTTGTGAGTGTCCCACTGAAAGCCAGACACTGATTTTTATTTCTTCATTTCTAAGGATAGATCACGTGTTATTGAGTTCTAGATAGCAGAGAAGAAAGAATCCACAAGAGTATTTTCCACTTTCCTTATGAATAAATAGAAAACTATCAACTAGTTAAAGAAAGCAGCTAGTAGATATCCTTACATGGTATTATGTAGTCACAGTTTTCTGACCAAAATTTTATTTTTTATTTTTTGTATTTCATTTTTTTGACTCAACATTTTTTATAATAGATTGTTCACTCCCACTTGCCAGCATCCTCCTCATTGGATTTATATGGGATCATCTTTTTTATTTGAATTGTACAATACTTTTTGACACAGTACAGCTGGCAGTATGTAATTCTTCCATTTTATAGATTTTTTTTTTAATCAGGCCTTTTGGACATGATTCATGATTTTACAATAATCTTTATTTTCTCTTGCCACGCAAACTAAAACCAGATTCTGATGTGAACATCAATTGAATGGCTCAAAATATTTCTTAGAGGATATATGTATTGATCCCTACAATAAAGTTTTGTGGCTAGTGTCTTGCTTTTGCTATGTTGATTCAGTGAATGAATAGAATTCAGTCTCAGATAAAGAAGATATGGTTCATGGAAATGTACCTTTGGGAAGAGGTGCCTCTGGAAATTTGAAGAATGATTTTATTTGAGTTAGCTTATCATAGAAGGGTAGATTCTTTCTTAACAATCAGATTAAACTTCAATTGGAAATAAAAATGGCCCTCCCTAAAGATTGTAGATCAGGTGAGAAGGGGCAAGAAAAACAACTAGACAAAGGAAGAAGTGACTGTTACTGTCTTTTAACTAGTGGACATGGTAAGTATTAGCATGACTATTCAGGGTCAAAATGATATGAATAGAACTCAGACTAGACTGGTAGCAGTGTCAGACTGTTGCTGCTGTTGTTGATTTGCCTAATGAAGTTATTTGCATGAATCAATACCTGGTTTTCTCTATGTATAATGAGTAGAGGATGGTTTCTAAAGTGTGACCAATCCTATTTATTTGCCTGAAACAATCCTAGGCATAATTTTTAATAATGCCTCTTTTTATCTTCAGAGTGCACCATTTGGATCATATCATCACCTAGTAGTAGTAGTCACTCACAGTGTGGTGAGTATGACTGTGTATCTCATAACAATGATGCCTGATGGCTCACTATTCTCAAAATGTAGAGCTTTCCAGCTAGTGCCCATAGACCTTTTTAATATAGAATGTTCCTTAAAACTTGTGTTAACGCAAATCTTATTTGCCACGTAGTTTTATTCTTGGAGTACTTTTGCTCTGTTTATTATTGGTCTTCAGCTGACAGTGAATTTTAATGTTCAAACCTTAAATTGATCCTCCTACTCACTCTTCCCAATAGTCTTCATGGTCCATAATTTGCAAATCATTGATGAGTGATGCACCCCTGTGGGATGTAACTTCAAACAGATGTCCTTTTCCCTGGACACTTTGTACACAGGAACCAGAGTAATTGACAATGCTGGGCAGCTCTGTTGAATTGGCAGCTAAGCTTTTTTGGACACAGGGGGAACTTGACATTGCATTAGATAGTATAGTTTGTTCTTTCCATCCCTAACATAGTGGTAGGTCTATAAGGCCAAAGCTGGGAAAAGAGGTACCTCATCTCTTTATCATTGCAACTCTCATGTAGAATGGAAATCAGTGTTTTATACTACTCCTAGTCCTTACTGTACCAATAATCCACATTGTGCCTTTCAGCTTATATTTGCTTCTAGGAGTCTCCTAATCCCAAATATAAGATGGGGTTGGTGATAATAAAGCACTTATCTCCCTAAATATTTATTGTCAGTCTTCTGTGGACCAGACATTGTGCTATACACAAGCCATATTATTGTGATAGAAAAATAGATATTACTGCTCCCCTTATGGAACTTAGTTTACTAAGGAAGAGAAAGGTAAATCAAAGAATTATACACAAATAAAAATTAAAATCATGATAAGTGATATAACAGTGACTTTAATATATTAGAGAAATTGATTTAGTAATGTCCAAATGTTACAGTGGGATTTGACGGAGATATGAAAAATAAACAGAAGTAAGTAGGAAAATTATTTGTTGACTTTAATCAGAGTTGGTTTCAATAAGTGATGAGGCTGAACCTTAATGGATTGAGTTTAATAGAGGAGGAGGAGTTAGTTTAGAGATGATTAATATAAACATTTATTTCAGAGAGTTTGTTTAAAAAATAACATAATGGTTGGAAGAGGGAAATGGAGTCAAGAGAAGGTGTTTGTTTTTAAGATGAAATAATGTATGTAAAGGAAAATAATTCAGAAAACAAGAAATTTTGATTCGGCAGACAGGGATGAATTACTGGAATGATATCCTTGCCTGGATGAGATCAGATGGAATTGAGCATACAAGGGATTGGTTTAATTAAAAACCTCAAAAAGTTCATCCATGTTAACAGGAGAAAAGATTGAGTGTGTGGGTATAGAGGTGACAGATAATGTGGGAGCTTGTGAAGAGTCTCTGCACTTCTTCTATTTTTCTCATTAAAATATGAAGGAACATCATCATATGAGTCTAAATGACAGGGGAGGGAAGGTGGAGGAATGAGAAGAAGGGAAGAGACAAGGATCTGAATGAGAGGGCAGAAAGCCTAGGGAGAATAGAGTATGATTTCCAGGCAGTGATCAGTGTTCCACTTGAGATCAGTGATCGTGAATTGAATGTAGGATCTAGTCCACTTAATTATCATTTTTTTTACAGCTATATCAGCTGTATGGGTGCAGACTCAGATTAGGTAAAGAGGTGATCTGATCAGAATTGGGAGTTTGCTATATTGCCAAATGAGAAAAGGGCAAGAAAGTTGAAGACAGGAAGACAAAAAAATTATTGACTGAAATTTAAGCTCAGAAGAAACGTGAGAATGTAAGGGAAAAGTGAAGGGCGGTGGAAAATTGTCAGATTAAAGGCTTATGGGTCCTATTAGAATTGGAGGAATATTGGAGTGAGAATGAAAGAGGAAATAATGGGTGGATAAGAGTGGTTGTCAACCATGGGGTGCATAACTCTGAGATCCTAGAGAGGTTGCAGCTTTGGGTACTGACATTGTAGGAATAATGGTGGGTTAAGTGCACAAGCAAAGGATGAAATTATAGAAAAGAGGAGATCAAGAACAATTTAGAAAGGGTTGTTTATGTGGATGAGGACTTTAGGAGGCTGTTGCAGTAGTACAGGCATAAAATATGGTGTCTTGGATCAGAATATTAGTGGTAGAAATGATAAGAAGTTCTGGGATTCTGAGTATATTTAGAAGGAAAAAGTAAAGCCAAACAGAATTTCCTAGTGTAAGATGCAAAACAGGCAGAGTAGCCCAAGCAACTACAAGTATACATTGTTATGTGTGAGATAGGTAATGCTGTGGGAGGAACAGTTTGGTGAAGACATTTTTTTTGAACAGGTTAAATTGGAGATACTCAGTAGACATCCAAGTGGATCTGCAAAGTTAGCTGTTTTAGTCTGAAGTTCAGGCTAGAGTGCTGGACTAAAAATGTAAATATGCTTGTCCCTAGTGTGCAGCTAGTTACAATGAGACAGAATGAGATCACCGATGGAATGAGTGGAGATAAAGTAAAAAAAAGAGGTCCAAAGACTGAGTTATTGGAAATCCAAGACTTTCTGCCATGAATTCTTTGAATCTCTTTGTGAAGGCAGGAATTTCTTCCTCCCCTTCTTCCTAACACAATTCTGATGGGAGGGGAGCAATAAAGGGCCAATGGAGACGAACCTGGTCGTGCAATACAGTTTTTTGACCAGTTGAGTATAGGCAAAATGCATGGAGTGGGATTCTGGGAAAGTTAGAGTGGGGAGATTGGGCTTAATATCAAGCTTTTCTTGTCCTTTGCCCCTGCCCTGTTTCCTACTTGGAATGCAGATAGAATGCTGGATGTGCTGGGGGTCCCACAATGCCAAGTATGCAATAAGAATGGACACACAGACAGACATTGAGAGCCTGAGTCATCTTGACATTGTGGAACCAAAACAGCCTGGACTGCCTCCTTGGACTTCACATTATGTGAAGAATAAATGAAACTCCTTATTCATTTAAGCCAGGTGCAAGTGGAGAGGGTTTACACCAAAGTACATTCCTGAACATACATTTGCATTTTCCTTACTGTATCCCACATGTATTTAGTGCTTAGTAAAGGTTGGTTGATTGAATGACTAAATGATCAAATATCTAGTAAGAACTCAATAAAATGGTTGAATATAAAACAAATGTCCAAACGATCATATTAAAAAATGATGGAAGATTCCTATTTATTGTGTATAATACACTATGAAGTATCTAGAAATAATCTACAACTAAAAATTTTTTTTAAATAAAGGATAATTGAGTTGGAAGGTGTGAGGGTGATCATCCTATTCGATATTCAAGTAGACTGGAAAACTGCCATTATTTGAACAGTGTGTTACTAGCATAGGAACAAAGAGAAGAATAGAATAAAATAAAGATTTCAAAATCAATGATGTTAAAAAGTGAGTGGCATTTCAGATTGAAACAAAGTTATGCTGCCTTACTACACATCAAAATAAACTCCAGATGGATTATACATGAAGTTGTTTTTTGTTTTGTTTTGTTTTGTTTTAATTACAAGCAAACATAGGGGGGTTTTGAGAAGTGGTTGAATAGCCATGGTAGTGGAGTGCTGGGAGAAAAAGAAAATATTCACCTCCGATAGACCTAAAAATTTCACTCAGCAGTCTTTTCCTGGACACCTATATGAGGTCCTATGCCAGGTGCTAGAGTCAAAAGATGAATAAGACATCTTTGGAGGATGGGTTCAACCTAGAGGAGCTGGAATTTAAGTGGCAGCAAGCAGTTTTGAAGTTCAATATCATGTGCACTCTGGAGTTCAATCTGACTGTTGTCCTCTTCAGAATATGATGGCATCCCATCTCATTTGAGGCTATGTGGACTTTTTGGTAACTTTGCCTTTGTATTAATAGAGTACTCATGTTGGGGTGTCTGTATTTCTAACCCTGACCTCGGAGTTAGCACTTGAGTTAAAATTGGAGATGGCAAGAAGGGACAGGATGGAAAAAACAAAGATATATTTAGTCAGTCTTTTTATTTTGGCCTCCTGCCTAAAATCAGTCATAATTATGAACTGGATTTAAATAACAGATCATGGAGAACTCCTGAATGACTGGGCTCATTGCCAAAGCAGTCTGTTCCACAGGAAGAAAGATTAGATTTCTTCTCGCTCACTCATCTATGTAGTGAGGATGATTTTGTGTACATAGGCTGCGTTTCTTATTTAGTAGAGGGGTTAGTAGACTAGTGCCATTAGCACTAAACATTACATTTTTAGAAATTAAAAATACTCCCAGAAAAAAGTTTGCTATTTTCTTGCCTCGTACCAGGAATCTAAATAAGTATTGTAATACACACCCCTGAAGTATTCTGAAGGAGGAAAGTTTCATAGTGAAGAAAGGAAATAAATGGTTCTACAGAGAAACCTCTCCAATGTCAGAGAGCTGTTCACAAC